TTTTAAGACCAATAAATTTATTTTTTATAAATACATTTAAGACCGATCAATTTATTTTTTATAAATACATTTCAGACTGATCAATTTATTTTAGACCGATAAATTTATTTTTTATAAATCGATCAATTTATTTTAGACCGATAAATTTATTTTTTTATAAAAACATTTAGGACCGATTAATTTATTTTTTATAAATACATTTCAGACTGATCAATTTATTTTTTATAATTTGTTAACAAAGTGCAACACTCAGGATTATAAATTATACATAGCCCCAAAGGGTCTTTTATTAGAGAAGTTTCCACCTTCCTAATTATTTATAATCTAATAATTTATAAATTTGGTGGGGATATTTGTTAACATAATGCAACACTCAGGACTATAAATTATACGTAACCCAAAGGGTCTTTTATTAGAGAAGTTTCCACCTACCTAATTAATAGTTTCCACATATTATTATTAGAAATGTTAAGATTAATTTGAGCAGAATCGGCAGCTTGAGACAAGTCTAAATGAAAAATATTTTATATTAAACATAATTTATTACTTACAGATAAATTAAAATTAATTACCTTTTTTAATCACATTTGAAATTAATTTTGAACTAATAATTTTGCTGGTATACATATGATCCGGATGACTTGGTGAGATAATTGGCAATGTATTAATGACTTTATTGGCATCTTTAAATTGCCTTTTAATTTTAATTGTTTTAAATTTTAGACTTGCTATATTCTTAAGCCAATCTTTAATTTTATTACTCGCTATTTCTTTAAGCCAGTGTTCAAACTTAGAATTAATTTTTCTAGCATTAGGTCGTTTTTGTGGATCAGAATTCATGCAGCTAATTCAACATAACAATCAGGAGTTCCAGGAGCAAACTCTGGACGCAATCCTTTACAAATATTTGCACCAAGTTTAACACCGAATTCACGCCCATCAAAAGGCCTCTGTCCGGTTGACATTTCAACCATGATTACGCCGAAGCCGTAAATATCAGCTTTTTGTGTAAGTTCATCACCCAATAAAACTTCCGGAGCAACATAAGGCATAACACTGTAAATTTCACCTGAAATATTTTCATCATTCTTTCTAGACAATCCCAGATCAGCAATATAAGATTGCGTACTTTCATTATTGTGTTTGTCTTGTAAAATATTACCACTGTGAAAGTTAGCATGAATATATCCCGCGTTGTGAATATAATATAATTCATTGGAGATATCTTTAAGTAATTGTAATTTAGCCTGCCAAGTAAGTTCTTTAAAATTTTTTCTTAAATATTTATAAAGATTTCCTTTATCAGCATATTGAAGGACTAACATATATTCATTTGTTTTAGTATCTTGGGTTATTCCATATATTGCAAGCTTACTATAATTTCTTTTACATGTCATGTGACTTTTAAACTTGGTAAATTTAAAATGAATTATTAGTTAGTTAGTTAAGTCTAACAATCAGGATATAATCTTTATTTATTTATACAAATGATGACGAATTATTAACTTACTTCTTGCAAAAAACCAAATTTATTTTCCTTAGTACTAGACAAGGTTTTGAGTGCAACGGTTGATGTTTCACGTTCTTCACGTGTTCTTATGCAATTATTTTTATCTCTATCAATTTTTCGTATACCATCCAACCAAGTTGCAGAATATACAGAGCAAAATCCACCTTTTCCAATTTCTTTAACATCAACTAATTTATCAAATGGAATCCATTCAACTGCATCTTCGTATTTATAAGTTCTAAGTTGAAATTCTCTAATGCAGTCGTCAACATCCTTGTTTCTACTACTTGTCCATCCTTGTGCTATGATATCGGGATCGCATGTCAGACACCACGCAGGTCGAGTGTTATTTTCGTTACAGTGTGCACATTTACTATTTTTAGGTTCCCTTTGTATTATAATATAATTTTTTATATTATCATTCATTATTTATTTTAAATTTCATTGTGACTTTGAAAATTATACTCACCGACTAAATAATTAATGCGAATGAAATGATTTGAAGGGTATTAGGTAATTAATTAATTGTAAATAAGTATTTAGAGATAAGTATTTATGAATAAGTATTTATGTTCATGATTTTAATTCCACTGATTAACGTTAATAAATCATCTTTATACTCACGCACTATTTGAAGGGTATTAGGTAATTAATTGTAAATAAGTATTTAGAGATAAGTATTTATGAATAAGTATTTATGTTCATGATTTTAATGAAACTGATTAACGTTAATAAATCATCTTTATACTCACATACTAAATAAATTAATAATAAATAAAATAATTTGAAATAGATAGTTAATTGTAAAGTATATTAAATATATTTAATATTTATGAATAATTTGTTTCATCGAATAATAAATAATTCTTCTTTATACTCACGGGCTAAATTTACACAAAAAATAAAAAGCATTTATAAATGTAAATTACACATACAAGCTTTTAATATATAAATAATATTCTTTTATTCTTACTCCCTGATAATTAAAATTGTATAAGTGACGTTAAAATTATAAAATATTGAGACAAAATTGAAATTACACCCACTTATTAATCCATTCAACATATTTACTAGAACTCTTTTCCACGCCAATTCCGTAATAGTAACAAATGGCAGTTTTAAATATTCCGATAGAATTGCCCATTTCAGCTGATTTTAAGTAATATTTAAATGCCTGTTGTTTATCCATTTTAACTCCAATTCCATGGTAATAACAAAAGCCAACTTGAAACATTCCGTCAGAATCTCCCTTATCTACTGATTTTTGAAAGTGTGCGAATGCTTCTTTCTCATCCTTTTCTACACCAATTCCATGTTCATAACAATAGCCAACATAATTTATCCCGTTAGAATCTCCTTTCTCTGCTGCTTTTTTATACCAAATAAATGCTTGATGTTCATTCTTTTCAACTCCAATTCCGTTAAGATAACATTGGCCAACTTTATACATTCCATAAGGATTATTCAGTTCAGCAGATTTTTTATATTGTGCGAATGCCTTATTCTCATCCTTTTCGACCTCAATTCCATTTTCATAGTAATAACCAAGCATGAACATTCCATTAGAATCTTTTTTATCTGCTAATTTTTCACAATCCGTTAAACTCAACTTGCTAGTTATTTTAGTAATTTCTTTATCTAACATTTTTGCTATAAAAATTAAAAAAAAATATGATAGAAGTTGTTTTAAACAGTATCGATATTTTGTTTTTATATAAATTGCCGCCTGCATCATGTAAATAAATAATTGAGCTGTACTCTTGGTTTTATAATATGTATACAAATGATGCAGCGTCTTCGAAGTTATGTATTTAGTCTGTATTACAATCATTATGAACAGGTATTACTCGGTACAGTCTTAGGTATTGGGTACGGTACAGTTGGGGTGGTTGGTCAACTAATTAAATCAAATTTATGTGTAGACCCATAATAAAAACAATTAGGCAATTTTTTAAATACGAATGTATTGTTACACGAATGAATCAATAGGAATTTATTATACGAAAGTGATAGATTTTTGAAATCTAATTCCTTTCGCAGTATTAATTCTTCAAATTTAAGAACAATCTGAAACGGATTAAAAAGGCATGCTCGTTAATTTATCGTGTGGATTTTTCTTTTTTGCATTTAAAATTTTACAATAATATTTTATAAATATATATTTATATTAAAATTTTAAATGCAAAAAGAAAAATCTCCATGACAAATTAAAGAATATGTTTTTTTAATCCATTTCAGATTGTTCTTAAATTTGAAGAATTAATACAGAATTCAAGAACTATATAACCAACTAACTGCCCACTCATCTCTTCAACATCAACTACCTTTTCAAAATATTCTAACAATTGAAACTACTCTCTAAGGATTTATACCTTTCTCCTTCATTGAACTACTCGTTATATAGACTGATACATACAATACAACTTTAAAACTCACTACTTAATTCTTTCTAAAATTTTCTAACAATATCTATAAGCAAATTTGGAAGCTTTATTATGCTATATTAGCTGAATAGAAAATTACAAATAATATTTCTAGTTAACTTCAAAAAACTATTCATTCACAACATCTACTATATTCAAGTTACTTCAAAATAGGTCATACATATACATGTTTATGTAGCTAATTTGACTAACTACATAACAATAATAATTTATGCTTTTCTCTTGAACTAACATGATACAAAATTGATGTTTGATCCACCTTGTGGATTAAATACAGTTACCTATCTAATTCTATCATAAATATTCAAATCTAAGTGAGTTTTTAACTGCTCTAATAGGTTTAGATTGCAGATAAATTAGATAATTTACTATCTATAGTCTGAGTTTTAATTCTTGTAAACAAATTTGTATATTTTGAGAAACCTCTTGTAGAATCTTATACAAATTTTAATAAAGATAAAGACAAAACCTCACCTTAATATTAAAAAAAAAAAAAAAAGTAAATTGTAATATCTATATACTAATTCTGTAAATACTATTACATTAAAATTAATTCTTGAAGATTAAAACATGTTTTATAATAACTACAAACAATACCAAAAACATAATAAAGACAATTAATAAAATCAGTAAAGTTAATCAACTTGCATGTAGTAGTTATACTCTATAACTTGTAGTAAATAAAGATCTTTTATTAGTTAAGGTATTAGTTGTATAAGAAAAATGACTTAAACAATTTTTTATATCATCTAAACAAAGTAAATAGCTTGAATTAATACAAGCATTATTAAATCATATAATATACAATAATATTAATAAAAATATTTACAGTAGCAGATGTTCCAAATTTTTAAATTAAAACCTGCTATTAAAATAATACAAGTAATACTAAACTATAATAATGATTCTATAGTAAAAAAAGATGCTTAGCATCTTAAGCAAATAATGTAAACAACAAACGAATAGCAGCTAATAGATGATTTAGTTAAAATTTTATTACCTTTCGTAAATGTTACAAAATACTTAGTGAAAATAAATATACCACAATGTTATATATGTTTACTGCCATATCTTCATTAAAGAAATTGCTTGACATTGATAACAAAATTCAAATCACAGAAGATTTTGAAAACTCAAATACTGTATTCAATGATGATTTAGATTTACAAGAAGAGATTGAATTTATTGATGAACCAGAAACATTGGATGTTAAAATAGAAACAAAAATAAATCAAATTAAATTTAACATTTCACAAAACTGTAAAGAAATAGTTGATCTTGTTAAATCAGCATTACTTAATACCCTGGAATTATTCAACTTATGAATCTCTTTTAGAGACAATTCTTGATCCCAGAAATAAAAAAATAGAGTTCGCTATGAATAATCAAAGGCTCGAAACCAAAACTTATTTGGCAGATAAATACGAAACAGTTCAGAAGTCAGAGTCAAAACCAAAGCCAATTAGTATAACGCAGATGGATAATAAGGAAGGGAAAGAAAATGTATTATTAGCTGCCATGTATACACCTACTCAAGATCCTGGAATAAACGAAGAAGTTCAACTTTATCTTGCACTTCCAAAAATTTTAAGTGCGCAATGTCCGTTAAAATGGTAGAACAGTCAAAAAAAATTGTCTGCCAATACTAAGTGAAATGGCACGTAAATATTTGTGTATTCTGCTGCCTCCACACCCAGCAACCGACTTTTTAGTGATGCAGGAAATCTTATGACCGTAAAACATGGTTGCTTAAATGTGGATCTGTTTGAACGAATGTTATTTCTTAAAAGGAACGTAAATTATGTTAGAGCAATGTTCCCTCAAGATTAGCAAAATAATTTCATATAAAATACAGTATGTATAATATATATAACTTATGTAATTGAAAATGCTTGAATTAACAAATTATTAAATAAAGTATTCTGCTGTTTAAATATTTTAATTTTTCGGTCAAGAAAATATGCATATTCCTTCATAAACATTATCGTTATTTTATAATAAATTTTTAATCAATTCACC